ATCATCATATATATCAGCATGTGGCAAATAGCAAATAAAGCTTCCCTAACTTTTCTGCTGCTTTAAAGCCCCCCCCCACACACAGTAGACAATAACTCTTCGTTCCCTGATAATTGTCCAATCAGACAAGTTCTCATAATAAGCAGCAGGGAGAAGAAATATAATTACATGTTGCTGGTAAAGGCAAAGCAAACAGGAGCAGGAGTTCCTCCCCGACTGTCAAGACCAACAACACTGCTGACACGATGCCTCCAGTGCACGGTTAAGTTAAGTACTGGTCATAACTCATGTAGCGCACGCCGCTGTGGTCTCTCTCAAACCGAGAAATTACTAATCGCACGAGACACACTGACCCCCTGAAACACACTGACCCCCTGAAACACACTGCGTACTGCGGTTCTGTACGAGCACTGAACGCCGCTCACCTCAGAGAACATGGGCAGTTTTTTGGCAAAGTCGACGACGCGGGTGATGGCAGGAGTGATGATCTTGGTGAACTCGCTGAAGGCCTCCAGGTCCACCTTGTCTCCGTCTGACGTGGGGGCGACCGGGGACTGGCCGATTTTGTCTGGCTGCGTGGGAAAATAAACACGAGAGGCCGGATTAGATCACAGTGGAAAATTAGAAACGAGAGTCTGTGTAGACAAATCCTGATGTGTCTTAATCCTCTGAGCCACGGAGCTCCACTTTTGTCCAAAAACAAAAAACATACATGAGCGATGAGTATTTTAAGTTAAAAACACACACACACACACACACACACACACACACACACACACACACACACACACACACACACACACACACAGCTGATCACCGATCACTCTGGCTCCAAATGCACAAGATGGCTGAGTTTGTAACTGGGATATTTTGGTTTCATTTCTGGACAGTGTTAGACAGTTTTTATACATTATACAATCTACGGCAGCCAATGTGAAAACAGCCAAACATCCCCTCGCGGGCTGTGGACCGGGGTCATCTGGCCCGTTATCTTTTTCAAAATTCTCTCCGTTACAGGAAACAACTACGTCATGCGAGCGTTTGCTGGGAATTAGTCATTTTAAGGACGATGCTCCACTTAAACAAGTTCCCCTCAGGCAACGATACGCAGGAGCATCTTCAATCATCGTCCTGCTGTAAGATGAACCCCTGACAGCCTCTCTCTCTCTTCCTCCTTTAGATAATAAACTGTATCTAGGGTTATTCATTGGACATGAATTTCTTTAAATTTCAATAAAACTGGAAAAATTAAAAACCGCTATTCGAAGCTGAGACGAAAGAAAAGAACAAAGTTGGAACAACGGAGCACGTTAGCACAAGCTGCAGTCGAGGGTATGGGTGTGTCCTTGGAAATGAAGCGCATAAAGGAATAAAATAAGATTAGAGAGAAATCGATAAGAGTGGTGTGGGGCTCAGAGTAAAGTAAAGTAGAGGAAACAACAGTTTTAAATGAGTTTATAGCCTTTCTGCTCCCTTTTACAGAGCGCTCACTTGCCTTGGGAGACAAATTAAAACCAATTTATCAGATAAAGACGGCAGATTGTGCTGTGTGAAAGGAATGGGACATGTCACCAGACTGATAGTGCTTACTTAAGAGGACTACGAATCAGTAATAAATATGTTTACAGAGTTGTGTGAATCGAGACCGGAGTGACTATGAAAAATTTAGTTTCACGCTCGGATGAATAAAGCGTGTGTCAAGGCCGGAGTCATTTATTCAGGCTGGGCTTCAACAAAAAAAATGGTACAAGATAAAAGTCTAAGAATAATCACCTCACACTAGGAACTGCCAATCAACTCCTCCAGTTCTCTGCCGTGATGCACAGAGCTGAGCGATTATGGACATTTGAAATAATTGTGATAATGACTCTGATGGACGGCGACTTCAGCCAAACACAACATCGGTTTCACTGGTGGAGGTCAGTGGCTTCTTTAATTTCAGTGCTGAGAAAACAGTCGGCCGCAGAGAGACAGAAAGAGCAGCTGAGGTTCAGAGCTGCTGAAATCCTGCCACGTTCTCAAGTGGAGCGGAGACGCTGAGACACAAACCACGAGACGAAGACAGTTGCAGGTTCATGAGCCGTAACTGGCACCGATGAAGGGAAGGGAGAAGGAGTCTTTAACACATTATCTGAGCTACCTCCAGTGGCATTCAGCCAGGGAGAGAGCCCTGGTTTTATTTGTGCAGAGTTCACGATGTAATAAAATTTCTGTCTCGTAGGTAGAGTGGTGAAAGAAGCGAACAAGCAGCTTCTTTTTCCAGTAACTCTGACTCTCTCTCCAGCGGAGAGAGAACCGTGCACAGTGAGGAGTCCGGATTCACGATGACACTGATTCTGGAAACAGATGTTGCTGTTTCATTTTATTAAATCCTAATTTTTAAGTGGCATCAACTCCACTGCTGTCCGGCGGCTGCAGAAATCTCCGTGGCAGATATTGCACATGAAACAAAAAACAAACAGGACAACATGAAATTCACAAGATAAAAAAAAAAAAAAAAGATTTTTGCAAATTTATTGAAGCAGCACTTTAAAGCAACACTATGTAACAGCGCCCCCTGCAGCCACACATGGGGATTCACTGTGTTGGGCTCAGTGTCCAAGCGATGAAGTGTTACTGAAACTCAACGGAAAGGAGGATATTACCCATGAGACCAAGCGTCCTGAACCACAGGAGCTGCGGTTTATAATTCATGTTATTTTAAAGTTTCCTGCTGAATATTGGAGATAAACTCTGGTTTTTAAAAACTTCTCAGTGTTTTTAACTGATCAACAGTTCAGCTTCACTCTTTTCATTCTTCACAGTAAATAAACCATCAAAGTTGCTTAACTCGTTTTAATGAAAGATCCTTCAACCATCTGTCCTCAGTGTGACACTCTGTGACACCTTCGCAGACCAGTAAAAAGTGCGTTAGTGTTTTATCTGTGGACGTTCTCCTCATCTGAGGCTTGTGGAGCTTCACATGCACCTTCTGGTGGATTCATGTGATTTTCCTGGAGCTTCCAACGTCCTGTTTTTTAACTGCACGGCCATCTGGGAGGCTGCGAGGGAAACGCTGGGCTCCACCGGCAGAGCTGCAGAGGGATTAAGTCTCTGCTGCTGGACAGGCTGGCACGTGGAGACAAAAGAAACAGCCTGAGAATCGTCCCAGAAGAGCCCCACGGTATTTTGGACTTTGACATAGAACACTTGGGGAATTAGCAATCTCTACACCGAGGGGAGAAAATGAGGAAAAACACATTTTACTGCAGCCTCATCAGTTATGTGGTGAGCTCCAACTGTTGACCTTTTATCGGAATGGATTAGTTCTGGAAAGTTTGCTCCAGCCGAGCGGTGGCGGTGGCGGTGGAAGAGAGATGACGACCATATATGGTCCATCTGCCGTATGTTTCAATCTGCCTGATCAAAATGGATCGACCCGTCACGGTTGTGCGAACCGTGCGTCTGGGTCGTACTTTATGTGATTAAGATATATTCTAACTTAATAAAGCTAATCGCATTGTGTGTTTGGTTTTTACGTCACTTTTAGAAGAAAATATCACCGAGCGGTCACAGAGACACTGAGTCATAGCGGCTGTTTCTGTCCATGACATCGAAACGTAAGGATTTTCTACAGGCTCATAACTTGTATGTGTACTTTAAAGGGATATCAAGAGGATTAATGGAGTCGGTGATCGATAATAATAGCACAGTGAACGCCTCACGAGTGCAAATCTGCAGCTTTGTAGATCAAACTTTATGTTTTTTTATGTTTTTACGTCCAACTCGGAACAGTCAGTGTTCCCGCTGCACCGGATCAAGGTTGTTTCTGTTTCAGTGTTTTTTTTCAGTCAGTTGGGTTTTGCTTTATGTGAATAAAAGACATTTTAATGTAATCATCGTACTGCGTGTACGTACTGAGATCACAGGGAGAAACTGCTCCATAACAGCTGTTAGTGTGAGAAAAGATTTTTATTGTCCCATAACTTACATACTTCATAAATACTTTAAGGAGATGTCAAGAGGATTGAAGGAATTGTTGATCAATACTAATAACTCAGTAGGTTTTGCACAAGGGCCCGAGATTTTTAATGACTAAACCCAGCTCAGATCAGCTGGTAATGATGAGTTAAAATACTCTGGAGCGTGAACGCCTCATGAGCATAGATCTGCAGGGTTGCATTTAAAAAATGTATGGTTTTTTTTTTGAGTGTCTGCGTTCTCTGTGAACTGAATCAAAGTTGTTTCTGATTATAAAGTTTTAGCGTAATTCACTTTCTGAGTAGCACTTAAAGCCGAGCTCAGCTTGTCCCTCTTTGGTTGGTTTCGCTAAGACCGCAGATGAAGCTCACAAGTTCACGACCTATTGAAAATTGGAGATTTGTGTGATTTGAATGGCTGCCAGTCGGGTTTATGCTTCACTTGGCCCGGACTATGAAATACAAAGACTGGAGCATTAAGTGTGGATTGACCTTTCCTAAAACGATAGTAGGGACTATTAAAAAAAAATCAATTATTTTCCCTTTGAGGAGCCTCTTTCACTTGTCTTTTGTCATTTTTATGCCGTTTTTCTTCTACGAGCTGGGATTGTTGGTTTTGGCTTCATGGACCTGAAGCTGTATCTCTAGTGTGAGACCTCACAGAACTGTTTTTCAACTGTTCCACATTTTCCTACAAACACAAATAAGTGCGTCAATACGCATAATGACACACACGTAAAATAATTCCATCCTTTGGCATCATCAAGAGGGTTGTTGCTTAGGATTCACTGCAGCTGTTGCCTTTTACGAGGAACAGAGCAGGAGATTTTCAGTGTACTGTTATTTTATGATAGGAGGCGTTTGCAATGAAAATATAAACCTGAAAAATAAATCTCTTTTTAATCATTTATGAAGCACGCATCTTGGTTCTCATCGATTATTATTGTTCTTTATTTATTGCTCGTCCATCAATGTTCACTCTGCTGGAGGTAGTTATTATATATATATGGTTCCAATCTAAAAGCCTGATGCACAGGTACCACTCATCGAGATGTTGAACTCGACCTGCTGCTTCTCTCCTCTGGACGACAGCGGTCTCTGGCTCCACCTGCCACTGAGCTTAATCAGTGCTCCGTCATCATTTGTGACCTAAAATGCGGCGCAGGATGGTTTCGGAGTCACTGCTGCCGTTTTACAGCAGCAATCCCCATCGGGATGAATTGGCTCATCCTGCTGGGCTTAGCGTGTAATTTCAGATATTCAGGGTTCAGTGTCTACGGCCTCTGGAGCCATTCGTTCCTCTCGCTCGATCGCAGAGCTTCTTTTGATTCCTTAGATCAGAGCAGACTCTCTGACCCACAGCTGGTTTAAGTCCTTCTTAAATGAAAGAAGAGAGTGTGACTCCAATAACATATAAACTCGCCCTTTTCCTTTTTGTGTCACACGTCTGTCTTGGCTGATTTATTTGCAGCCATGGACCAAAATCATTTTTTACTTCCATGCTGATGATACTGTACACATCTGTTCTTGTGCGTCACGATATCTTAAATTTGGATATTTCTGTGCATCTTATTCCTGCAGTTGTTTAATGGAAAATCGATCATCGCAGTATTTAGTTTTCTCTCCTGCTAAATTCTGAAAGTCTTGAAATGCAGCCGCGATTTGAACCAGATCCAGAAAATCTGAGCACATTCCCTTCATTGGCTCCGTATCCATGTCAGATCAGACTTTAAGATGCTTTTAATGACACAGGGGACAAATGGGTTAGCCCCTCTCATACCTGTCTGATCTCCTGAAACCTTTCACTCCGTCACACGCTCTGTGTTCTCAGAGAGCAGGGCTCTCGTCTGTCCCCACAGCTGAAGGGCCTCATCTTATTGGGCCCCCTCTTCTGGAATAACCTCCCTACTGAGAGAAGACTGTTTGACTCTGGAAATCCAAACTTAAAACTCATCTTAACACCTTCACGTCTTCTCCGTCACCTCCGTCTTATTCTCACCAGCGTCTCGAAATATAAAACGAGAGCTCTTTCTGTGTTGCCTGAACACCACTGCATCATTCCGTTTGCTCCCTCTCCCTCTTTTTCCTTTCTGCCCTTTCTTTTCATCTCTCTCTCTCTCTTCTGTAGCTTTGTGATTTCCCTTCTCCTCCATCCTCTTGTTGCTTTCTGCCGCCTGAGCTGTGGAGACTGAATCAGTGGCTGCAAACCACCCGCTGCTGCCTCCGTGTTCCTGCTCGACCTCCGCTGCTACTGCGCCATGTTCTCTGAACAAAATGATATGTCTGACCACACCATTACAATCCAACCGGCCGAGGCAGATGTTTAATTTCAGGATATTTAATTGTACAACACCTGCTTTGCTTGGATAGGAAAGAAATTCTCAGAGAACTAAATGTGTTAACTGTGCAAGGAAACCCCTGATATCAAGGTCTATCATGAAAACATAATGTTGGTGATATCTTGTCCCAGAAAGTATTGTGATAAATTATATTATTGTTAAATTATTGTCATCATTTTAAATTGATGAATTTGTGAAGCCTGTGTGAATTAGAACTCAACATCCCCCATTTGACAAGAGTTTTGTTTTTGGATGTTTTATCGCAGGAGGAGTAAAAATAGAATTCAGTGTTTTACTTGTAAAATAAATTATAGTGAGAAAAAAAAAAGTCTCCCCCTTTTCCCCGGGGAGCCTCCTGGTGAAAAGAAAGCTCAGGGATAAAATAAACAGTATTTGACAGCACCGTTTTTTGCAAGCTCTGCTCTAACATGCTTTCTGCCACTTCGTAGTGTTTATAAAAACGTATGTTTCTCAAACTATAACCTTCCTCTTCTCACTTAAGGCCTTTATCCTTCACCTAAGTCCTGATACAAATACCTGGACCTGAACTCGCCTCAGTGCAGCAACAAAAAACACAAAATAAAAACTGGGTTTCGATTGTGTCTTTTGCTTCTAATGCAGTAAGTTCTTCCTCTGTGCTTCACACCTCCTCACCTACGTAATCCCCACATGGCCCGCTTCCCATCACACCCGGCCACATCCTTCTTGTTGCATAGCAACCCCCTGCTCGAAAAGTGCTTTCAACCCCTCTTCATGTGAACACCGCTCATTTCCCTCATCGCAACAACCCATCTACAAAATCACAGGTTTTTGGATGGAGATTGTTTCTAGCTTCGGTTCTGTGCTGCTGTGACGGTAACGTGGAAAGTGTTAGCATCTCAGCTCATCCAAAAACATGAGGTCTGTGTTTGTGTGGGAAAGGGGAAGACTGATACTAGGCAGGGACGCCCTGACACGGCTGCCCTGGATAAATCTGAGCTCCGGCGCAGCAGGAAGACAGTTACAGAGAGAGAGAGAGAGAGAGAGTCTCCGCCTGCCAACCTCGCCGCCAACTTGCAGATGAGCGTTCATGACTGAGGATTTGCCTTGGCTGAGATAAGCTGGGAGCTCACAGAAAACAGACGGGCATAACAGAGGGGAAAGTAAGGGTAGGACGCTGAGGAACAGAGAGAGAGAGGAAACACAGAAGTGAAGACGGGAAAGAGATTAAAGCAAAAAGGAAAGACTTGGGGTGTGAATGAAAACTATGAAGGGAATTAGGTCTGGTGAGGAGCCCAGAAGGATTAGGATGAATAAACCCCCCAAAATGCTGAAGAGAACTGTGGAGAAGAAAAAAAGGGAAGAGGGAAACAGTCGGCAGAGAGCACGGAGCGATAGAGTCATAAGGAGCTTCTGTGACAGTGAGTCATGTGAGGAAAGAGACTCATAGAATGAACCCCTATCATTTCTGACGTTAGCGTGAGAACATAATCCATATTGTCCTGTTGTTTGGTTGTGATGTGGTTAGAATCTGCGGAGCTGCAGCAGTTTAGTGTGAAATGATTCTGCATGTGTGAAATTCAGTTGTGGAAATGTTTCCTTGATTTTCAGTAATAAACATTTTTAGCGTCCAGTCTGATTTTCTGAAATTCCCAATCGGGTGGCTGGTTTTCACTTTCACATCACATCGCCTCCCTCTCACGGCTTCTTACCAGGAATTTGCGCTTCTGTTTCCACTGTGCGCCCTGAGCGTTAGTGTGTCGATGGGCCTCCGTCACCATGCGGATCAGCTCCCACTCAGCCCCGGTGGGCTCTGGACGGTTCTGGAGGGTTTTCACTATTTCCTCCTTTTTGCGTCGCTCCCTGTTCTCCTCGATCAGACGCCGCTTCGCTACCCGCTTTGAGTCGTCCAGCACCACTGGGAGGAGACGGAGGGAGGCAGAAGAGGAGGAGGAGGAGGAGGACAAAGAGCCACAGAGAAAGAGAGAGTGCCAAAGAAAAGAGAGCAAGAAAAGAGGTATGCAATTAGTTCGCATGATGCCTGAAGTTGCAGCGTCTATATAATTTCTATAAAGAGACGCCGCATCTTTTCTCTCCCCTGCATTTTTACTTTATCTCCACTTTGTGTCAGAGCACATCTATAATCTGAAGCGAGTCATTTTAAATTCATCACCAACTTCTCAAACATGAAACTACAAATTGCATTGGATCCATCTGAAGGTGCATTAATGTCCTCTGTGCTTTCTTTCTCTTCGTCTCTCTGTGTGTGTCTCGATATTCCACGTGTATGTATGTGCACAACACTCACAGTCCATGGCCATGCCCACTGCGATACATTTCTTGAAGCGACAGAGCTGACACTGGTTGCGGGTGATCTTGTCGATGATGCAGCAGCAGTCGTACTTGCAGGAGTAGCTGGGGTGGAGGTTCTTTTGAATGGTCCTTCGGAAGAAACCCTGCAGGCAGAGAGCAGTGAGGGAAGTTTATGGAGGGTAAAGGGGCGAGATTAGTAAGCGAGAGAGTGATTACGAGTTAGCGCGACGAGGGATGAACAAAAGTATCAGGGAGGAAAACAAAGAGAAGAGACAGAAGAGGAGGAATAAACGCGAGTCCGACACAACCGCATCGCTGCTTTTACAGTTTGAAAGGTGGAGAGACATTTTAACTTCCATTGCTGCTCATTTATCTCTCTGTGATTAAATTAATTAGGAAGATCTAGAATTTTAATCTAATTTGCTGCTTGTCTGACTTCCTTCCAAATCTATGCAAATGCTAACATCCAAATAAAACCATTAGTAGAAGTGGGAGTGAACGGAAACATCTGTACAACAGCATCGATAAAATGAGCCTCGGTGTTGTGAGTGTATTATTAGATTAAACATATCTGAGAGAATATACCTGCGCATTCAACTGCACACACACACCCACACTCGTCTTTCAGGATGCTGACAAAACCATCACATCAAATTCAACACCGCTCACTGAGTGGATAGAAAGGATGTGGAATATAAAATAATGTAGAGGCTTCGTTTACTGTTATATGTGTTATTTTAGCTCAGACTAAACGATGCAGGTGTGAAATATACTGTGATTCATGAACAAACAGCAGAACTAAGACAAGCAGACGGCTCATACACCTGACTGACACATGATACCGGGCTGAGAGCCGTCGTGACAGACTCGGGTTTAAAGCAAATATCTTCATATATCATCTTTCTGCAGCTGCACAGGAGGCGTGATGATCTATGACTCTGGTATGTGCTGGTGTGAATGTATGGGCTGAATTGAAGGTGCGTGTGGAGGAGCACATGGCCAGATATGGGGCTGCGTGTGCAGGAGGAGGAGATGTCCTCAGAGGGTTCACGGCAGACATACACGTATATTGCGTTCTGTGTGAGTGGGCTTACCTTGCAGCCCTCGCATGTAATGCAGCGGTAGTGGTAACCTGTGGCCTTGTCGCCACACACCACACATGGCTCATCCTTTTCGAGGTAACTGGGGATGTACCCTGGCACACAGATAAAACAGGAAAAAAAAAATAGAGTCAGACAGAGTAATGACATTAGAGATAGATATATTTTAGCCTCCTGCGTCCATCATACTATTACACAACAGTAGAATCATATCACTCTCATGCTGCAACTTCAGGATGTCAGATTTCATTACTACCCAGGGCCACAGGGCCGAGTTAATGCGCTCCACCGCCGCACATGCTTTCTACTCGTCTCCTCCGCACAGCAGCTTGGAGACGGAACCACTTCTGCTGATTTACCAAAACTATGGAAAAACTTCCCGGTACCGTTCCACCTCTGTTCAATAAAAAACACATTAAAAGCTGACATCACGAGCGAGCTTTTCTATCTCACTTTCCAACTGATGAATAAAAAAAAAAAAAACGCTCTCTGGTCAGTCTCAGATGTCCGACGTGATTATATTAATTTTCTTGGCGGAGAGAGAAGCTCCCAGCTTAACCTACAGTGTGCGAGACCTCTGACGTAAGAACGCAGGCTCGGCCTGGAGAAGCTTTTTGTTTGTGTCTCGCACATGGGAGAAGTTTTGCCTCCGAGGCCTTCAGCGAGAAAGCTTTTCTGGCAGAAAGCCTGTGGGAAGTCGGGTGAGGTGGTGTCAAAGTCTGCATGCAGAGCAGGTGGTGGTGGTGGTGCACGAGCGGGTCATACACAGGGCGTTCACTCAGGAGGCTGGGGTTCAAATCCCACTTTATTTTTTGACTTTATCGGCATCTTATTTTAAGTTTTCAGGCGCTCTCTGGTTTGGTTTAAGAGACAAAGCTGCTCCGTCGGTTTACGAGGAAGAAAAATACAGAAATACACATAATTTGTCTCTGGTGAGAAACACTAAATTTAAACATAACTATAGTTTGTTTACTAGTAAATTCTACAGGGTACCCTTTAAAGGCCCATATAGCGTCTTCAACACACATCTTGTAAATTCTACCACAGCCACACAAAGGCTCTGCTTCCAAACACGACCACTGAAAACCACAGCGCATGGCGTCTTTGAAAAGCAGACCGGTCGATCCCAATGTAAACGAAGCAGCATCTCGAGGTAATGGAAATTTGACGACTGCCAAGAAGCTGAACGTCAGGACATCCACCACTCTCTAATTACTGTCTAATTGACGGACATGTCTTTTAATAGATTGACTAAAAGTGGACAGCGACAGTTAAGCGTTTGATGTTTTTCCTGGTTCCTGTGCTGTAAAAGGTTAATCACATTAGAAAAGTCTGTAAAACTTTGACTTGTGTCAGACATTTATTTTGAATTTTGACGAAAAAGCGTGCGAACCACTCTGGTTATGTGTCTACGTCCTGGGATCAGTGAAGGAGTGGAGGCTTTAATCTTATTAGAATTTGGCTCATATTTTAACTAAATTTACAATATATCATGTAAAGTGACGTCAGATCTTCATTTGCCGTGTCTGGGTGCTTCTCTCTCTCTCACAGTCTCCTCTGCTCTCTGCAGTCGTCTCTGTGTTTTAACTTGGGAATAGGACAGTATGTTCTTTTTCCATATTGCCTGCAAGACCAGGGAGACTGAGGGCGTGAGCACAGACAGGAAATAGCAGATTTCAAACCATCTCATAAGATATATGGCTACGAAAGTGGGAGAGGGAGGAGATGGTACACTGCAAGTTGCAAATAAACACACACATGCGCACGCACACGCACACGCACAGACACACACAGAGAGCCAAAGGCAGATGGTCTCATTACACACGTACTCCTCATGTGATGTTTTCATGACATGTAAAATTGCATGTGTGAGTGTCTGTGCACTAAGAGAAGAAAGGAGACAAAGAGACGAGAGCAAGCGTTAAAGCGTCATAAGTGTGTGTGTGTGTGTGTGTCTGCGTCATAATGACACGTCAACCTGTTGATTGGAGGACGGCGCCTGTTTTTTTTTTTTTATATATTGTTAAAAAGTTTCCTTCTGTTAATGAGACAAAAACATTTGGGATCAGAATGAATTAAAAACTACATGAAGAGAAAAAAAGTAAAAGCTTGAGTCTGAGCCTCAATCCTTCAGAGAGGAATAAAAAAATAAAAACAACACATTGCAGCCAGAAGATGACAAGAAAATAAAAAAAGGAACACTAAGTGGGGGAGGAGAAGAGGCGGAGAAGAGGGGCTGAGAGGAAGGAGAAGACAAACAGGCCACATGAAAGATAACAAGGACATCAGAGAGGGATCATATAGGAAAAACGTCAGCTCCAGTGTGTTGGCAGAGCAAAGCAGAAGCAGCAACTGGATCCTCGAGTCAGTCTGCTGCGGCTGTGTTTGGAAGCCAAGCCCAAAATCAATACTGCTGCAGCTCCCCCCCGTCCCTCCTACGACAGGCCTTGCAGCTACACACCTCCACCAACAAACCCCCCCCCCCCTAGAAGGGGGAAGAGATTTTTTTGCAGTGTGGCTCAGTCAAGACTAATATTTTGTCTCCACGAGGTTTGAAGATCCTGAGCTGTTTCTTTGTGTTGAAGCGTGCGGAGCGGGGGGGGGGCAATGTGGATCTGAGCTCCGCGGGATTGTTTCTCCGAGGTCCTCACGCGACAACAGCACTCGTGAGATTGACATTTGAGAGCGTAAACACTGAAGAGCGGAGGTGCAGTTGAAACAAACAGCTGCTCAATAAAATCTAGTGTGCCCGCTGCTGCTGTGTTTATTGGCCCTTCTCTGACTGGCACACAGATAGACTGTGGGTCTATCAGGTTTTTATTTAAAATTCAAACATTGTTCACACTTGCAGTAAGAAGCCCGAAACACACACAGGGGCAAAATAAAAGCTGCGAGTATTTGCATCATCAATTCATCTGCTGATTCGATGGTTGAGTTTGTAAAGACGCTCATCAGAACATCCCCAAAGTCTTAGATGTCGTCTTCCTGTTGCTTATTTTGCTTGTTTAGTTTGAGAGTGGCTGGAATCGAGTGTTTAACAGATGAAACCAACGCAGGCAGCGTGGACGCATTATCACCTTCTAAACTCAAATGACAGAAACCAGTCGTTCAGCGGCCGTCGGAGGAACATGAACATTCATCTGGAGCTGTGTCTGTGTCCACCTGATGAGTCTTATTGTGAGATTCACAGCTTTGTCTCCGTCATCTCCTGAGGGAAACACCAGATGTTTGAACCAGAGAATTTACTCACTTGCTACATCAACATTTCACTTCTTAAATATTATGGTTGCGGCGTCTCGGTACAGCTGGTTGAAACACAGACAAACACCGTGAAGCATCCAACGCCTGATGCCGACATCGTCTCGGTGTGTGTGTGCAACTCAATCTCAGGCCGCTACGCGCGCCTCAGGCTGATATACCGTCATACTTTCCTAGTTCAAATGGAGCATGGCAGGCGGAATAAGGTACAAGGTTCCAGCAGTGATCCAGAGACGCTGGGGGCGAACATGTGGAGAGGAGAGACCGGGCGAGGTGTGTTTTATAAATGCCAAATGAAGAATCCTGTACTCCTACAATCCTGTACTCCTCCTACAACATCACTGTCAATATCTCTCTCTCTCAGCTCCTGGGGGGAGAACGGAGCCGTCACTCAGACAATGGGCTCCGACCGACAAGAAAGCAGGTAGAGCGGCAGTCTTTCGTTCATTGATGACAGATGTTTCACTTTTTCTCTCTCTCTCTCGGTGACAAAAGCACAATGTGCACGAGGCAGCAGTGAATCACGCTCCACCAGCATCTGTTTCAGTCGCTCAGCTGCTGCATTAACTCTGCGTGAAGCCTGACAGCTCTTCCTCTCTCTCTTCCAAAACAACGCAGAGACTCCAAAATTATATCAAACCTCCGCAAACTAAATTCAGGCGAAGGGATTTTCCAAAATGAAACTTGGAGAGGGTTTCCTCTGCTAAAGAATTCAGACTTAATTCACACTCAAGACGGTGGAAGTTTGTTGTCTCCGAGCCGCCAACTGGCAGAGAGTGCACCGATTAAAACACCATCCATCACCTTACTCACCAGTCATACTCTTCACCGAACATTGGCTGTTCTTCCTCTTCCTTTTCGGGCCATTGAGCCACCTGAGAGAGAAGCAAAGGCACAAATCAGTGAAAGTCCTTGAAATAAATACATATAAATACATATACTACATCATAGAGTATCTGGACTTGTTAACCCGGCAAAGAAAAACACATTAAGGTATATAAAACCCATTTTCAGTCCGTCAGTGTTTCCTCTACCGGTGCAGGGCCAAGCATCTGGTGCTCCATTTAGATGTTCTGCATTCATTTCAAACAGAGGAGTAGCGGAGTAACCAAGGTTTCTGTCATAAACACTGTGTGAAAGCAGAAGGGAGCTTTTCTTACTACGATGCCAAATGCAGTTTGGCACGCTCTGTTCCCAACGACGCTCGCGAATCGACTCCGAACAGCAGCAAAATAAAAACACGCAAAACAAGTCGCAGCGCGGCCGCTCTGACACGAAACAAGCAAATGCAAAGCAGCGTGCAATCTCAACAAGTACTGGCAGACACCTGCAGCCGCACTGACACATGGGAAAGACATGTAAAGCACAGATGGGAACCGGCGGCTCTGAGGGGAATTATGAACGAGCAGAGATGGAGGAGGGAGAGAGTTAAGTTGAGGAGTGAGGGAGTTTGGGAGGAGGGAGGTAGAGAGATCTCTCCGTGTCAGTGTTGGATGTGTTCAGAATCCCAAGAGTCCGGCTCTGGGCTCTCAGACGCTGCTGATCACCCGAGGCTCTCCTCCCACACCGCCAGCTCCAGGAGAGCGAACAGGACTCCATTAGCATCATTAATAAAACAAGGTCCCACTCTGTGAGGACGCAGCGCACACAGTTCCACGGTTTACAGTTGCTCTGCGATAGAGTTGTGTTACAGTGTGTTTGTTGTTATCAGGAGGAAGGATCCCTCCTCTGGCGTCTTCCTGAAGTGTCCTAAGATGGAGGGAGTCGTATGTCTCATACATAAAGCCCTCGGAGGGCGGTGTGTGAGGGTTTGGCCTACAAATGTACAACGTAAGTATTTAAGTACATTTAGTTTATAGGAAATCAAATGTAAAGACAATATACAGCATCTCCCTTGGATTTAAAATAAAGATGGACTACGCATCTCTACTTCCTCCCACTATCCAGAAATAAAGCTTAAACACCCAGAACACGTCCGTCTTGCACATTTAGATCCAGATGTTGCGCTGGAACGATCGGGGGGGGGAAAAGGACACATGTTGTTCGTGTCCCGTCGGACAATTATTCAAAATGTTAACAAGGCACATTTCCTTTCACTGAAAAGACCCAAAATGTTTCGTACTTATTTTATAAGTCAGCGTGTTGTTATTTTCTCTACTCCAGCAAACAGTTTCCCCCCGTGACGATCAAACTGCTGCTTAAGATCCGGAGCTGCTGTAATTGAGTTTAAATACCAACTCAAACTGCCTGTCACATTTCATCTTGGCTTTAATTACACCATTGTCTTGTTCTCAGTTACGGTTCCCTTTGCCCTTTTCAGAGTACATCAGGCGGATTAGTGGGACATTAAAGTAAGCTCTTATTGAGTTTAAGCTTGACGCATCATGATTGTTGTGTCTGTTCAGCCTCACAGAACGAGCATCTTGACTCATCTGGACATTGTGTTCCTGTACTGCTGGGCTGTCGGAGGAGAATGGACGAGGACGTCGACTTGGCGTGACAGCTCAAGGTGGCGGGAATCTAACCTGTGAAGCCACTCTTCCTGGCACACGTTCACATCGAATGTCGCGAGGTGCACACTTCACCAAGTCTCTGAACATGGACGGTGATTTCCATTCACTTGCTGCACAAAGAAGAAATTATCAACGTCTGTCAGAGCAGCAGAATGATAAGGTGGAGTTCTCACTGCCACTCAGAGGGAAACGTCTCTCCCTCTGTCAGCTGGCACCATACGGGTGCTGCAGGCGACGATCATCAATCTGTCAGCTATGTGACAGTTGAGCGCAGCCATGCAGCAGCAGGTTGTTATAAATGGAAACATTAGCAATACAGGAAAAAAACCCACACTCTTTATTCTGGTCTCCAACAATCCTGCGATAACTAAACCAGGTCCTTCACATTACAACATGCGACAACCTGCCACACGTTAGAACTCTTTGTTTTCCCTTGTCGCAGCCGTGCAGCGTTCTGTTTTCAAGCACACAATACAGATATGATGGCACAACAGTGAGAGCACTGGCACAGCAGTGATACTATAATGAAAACATAATAAAAAGCAGCAGCTCCCTTAATAAGCTCCAGCTCTATCTCAGATCTGATCGATCCGCTGAGGAAAATATATTATCGGCTTTGCAGCTAGAGGAAGAACTTAGCACGCTCGGCGTTACAGGGGAAGTGCATTTCACCTCTCGGTGTGAAGTTAGAGAGAAGCAGTGTCAAGTGGCCTCAGGAAGAAAGCAAAGCAGGAAACAAACCACAGAAAAACATGACATGCACAAAAAGAGCTCAGTGTGACAGACTGTCTTTTAGATTTTCACTAAGAGGCTGCACCTGAAATATTAATCAACTTCTTGTCCAACACGAGGGTTTGAAGCACTGCTGCAAAACAAAATCCCAACAAAGTTTGCTTATGCAAAGACCGAGCAGCCTGACAGGGCTTCAGACTGTATCAAACAGCCGGTGAACATGTGGCCATTTAGCGCAAATACAAGTGCTCCTGTCTCGAGATGAAAACATCATGCATAATTGAGTATTTTTTGATGGAATGAGAGTTTTTGCAGGTTGGGGCATGACGCCGTGTGCAGCGCAGGAATACCACAGAGCTTTTCAATTTCCAGCTCTGATGGAATACAGATTGCAACACATCTCTAAATATGCACAGATCCGAACACTGTCTCACAGAAACCTGATCCAACCCCCCCACACACACACACTCACACACACACATATGCACGTACTGTACTCTCTCTGCAAGCTCTCTCCGACACACAAATTCAAATCTTCACTTGACGCTTCAATTCCTGTGGCCCAATCGCCGTGCAGAGTTTGTACACATGTTGTTCGACTCAGCACGTGTTGCACAGCCCAAAACAAATACAGAGCGGAGGAATCGACGACATGAGCCAAAAAGATGACATGAAAATAAAGACTTATAGTGCTGACCTGATGATGTACTGGTGGGACTGTAAAACATGCATAGCAGAGGAGCAGACGGAGTTGAATTCGCAGATGTAGCTGCTGCACAGACTCAGTGTCACTCTCCTACGCCCTGAAGTCTCCACGAGTCGAGCCACAGCTATGTTTACCCTGCCGACGCACTCTTCCTCCAATAAGCATGATGTTCCTGCTCTGCTGCAAGTTCCACCCAGTCTACCCCGATTGGAGCGCAGCCAATTTTCTCCACCTGTGCCTTTGGCAGCGAGCGTCTCGCAGGTAATTGCTGAGCTGTCAGGTCGCAGAGCGTTCTCGTGAGACCCCGCTGTTTTCAGTGACACTGCAGGTTTCATTAAGGCTAATTGCACAAGACGGCGATCAATTCCCGGGTGAGAACTACATGTCCTTAAAGTGCAAGTTCACCTGCAGGTCTGACTCCACCCAGGTCATGATTGTGAAAAATGCTTAAAGAAGTGGGTGGGTGGGAGCTCAGCTGTTTGAGGCAGGCACTTCTGCTGGAGGGCACTTTTTAAATGGGGGGGGGGGGCTTTCCTTTCTAAAACCTCCAGAATCGCTGCAGAGCCACGTGAGACTCTGAGGGGAACAAATGCTGGTGGGGTCTCACAGAGGTCACAAGCATGACCCGCACGTCAAAACTCAATAACACTGTTTAGACGGTTGTAAAAAAAAATACTCAACCAGAGATTCAAAGATGAATGCAGAGACTTCTTAACTTTGCAGAACTTAAAAAAAAAACATCATACATATAGTTTAAATACACAGAAATGTTGAATTCCCGGAAACAATATCTTGTTTACTCTCAGTTTTCAGAGGCCCTTCTTCCTGCTGCAGAAACAGAGCTGATAAAACCTGCTGACAGGGAGCTCTGTGCACTATCCACTGTATCTGGGAAAACATGTTGCTGTTACACTTTCTACATGTCATTTTTCATTACCGCGAGAGCGGCCCGGATAAGATTTCCAGTCACCTCCTTTGTGTTGGGATAGAAGCAGAAATCTCAGCGATAGATGTTTCAAAACTTGGACAAATATAACCCAAACTATGTGCACGGCCAGGCACCACGAGACAGAAGTGAGATAATGTGTTTTATGTATTTTTTTTTTTTTTTGTTGAACTAACTCTCAAATATATGAGACTGAGAAGCACCTGCTTTGAAGCAGACGCTCGGTAAAAAGACGGAACAACACAAAGACGCTCAGAATAGTCCAGATAATTATATCTATAACAGTGTCTGACTGAAAGCCCCTTGTCCTATGTTCAGAGCAGCAAAGGAGCCTATTGTTCAGCATATAGCTGCCGTCAGCAGCTACAGCTCGGTCCGTCCGTCCTTTACATGCAGCACTAATGGACACTTTGTTCCCTCATGTGTTCGGCCACTGTGTAAATTACAGACAGAGCTCGAAGGGGATATAGCAAAGCCTCCGAGTGAAAGCAAGACAACTCCCTCTGTCCAAACACACAAGTGCACTGTAAACCACATGCAACCAATAATAAACTCGGAGCTAAATCCTCAAATATATACAGCTTGATACTTCCTGTGCATTGACTATACTCAATTCCTGAGTCTTGCTCTAACCTTCAGGACCCCGAGCCTCTGCTCTAATAATGAGAGGGGTTATAAATTCAGATTCATTTCACATGCTTTTGTATTTTGCGTGTGACTCTGTATGAGAACTGCTGAGATGTTCATATTAATTATCTTGTAGAAATACACGCACACTCAGTAACTTCAATTCTATTCGACACAGAAGCTTTTTAAAGGCCGACTTGTTCACAGCAAGAGAGAAAACAACAATGACTTTAACCTGCGCGTGACAGGAAATCCTCGTCCCGGCCGCGGAGCCTTGTTTACGTTTTTCAGCTGCACCACAGACACACTGTACTGGAGCGTGGCGGAGGAGAGAGTCTGATCGACCCACAGAGGCCGGGCTGTGGTTGAGATTAAAGTCAGTGGGGAAGATAACACAGGGAGACCTGACCTTTATGTCACAGGAGGTTAAGGAAACACAATAATAACACGCTTTACAGTACATGGCTGGAAAAGGGTCCGCCTGCGTGTCAAGATGCAAATGTTTTCTTTGTATATTAAGAAGATCCTGGTTTCTCTCTACACGTGTGAACGTGTGCTCGGTAGATTGATCGTCCTCCCTCTGGCTGCACAGAGATGTTTAGCGTGTTCCCTGACATGAAGGATGCAGAGTTATTATCACCCGTCTCCTGCTGCGAAACACTTCATACATGCGGTAAATATGAAATTCAGATGAGCTCCGTTTCTCTGCCTAACGATGCGCTCGGAGAGATGCTACAGATGCACTGCAAGTCTCAAATATTCAGTATGTGTAACGGCAAACTGATGATATTATCAGTGGCCAGCAAAATAAAGATACATAGATACAACCACTGTGCAATGAGCTTGTGAGATTAAATGTTTATGTTGCAGGTATATGTGTATTAATGCATTTGTTTGTCTGTCAGCAGGATTATGCAAAAACTACTGGACGGATTTCCACAGAGATTCAATATTTTTGTTTTACTTTCTTTAACATTGAAAGAGACGTTTTCACTGATTTCTCAGCGAATGATTCGTGGATCACGATGAACAAATTCTGACAGGAACTAGTACGAGTGTGTGCAATTAGCCTGATTGAATTTAAGAGGACTGTTGGGCCTTGGCGGAGGTATGCTCTCAACCAACGTGCCAAGTTTAATCCAAATTGGATTAAAACCGCCCGACAGACGACAGACAAATGCCACAGATTGTAACACACCCCTCCGCTTCTGCTCTAATAACATCTACATGTAAATGCTGCATTTGAGACACCTGAGTGAGTCCGTCTGTCTTGCCAAGTAAGTCATTATGTCATTATCACTGTTTCTCTTTATAGCATCGAGAGGAATGCAGCCTGAGACGCATTGAACAAACAATTAGCCGAGCACTGTGATCTGCTGTTTGACTGGAGGCCCCCAGATGACTGGAGGATTAAAACTGGCCCCATGAAGCACATCGGCAACAAACATCAAACCACACACACAGACACACACACAGAAACACACACACACATACACACAACACTATGGTGCAAGCCTTTTCACTGTTAATGCAACACAATGCAAACAGCATTGCATCAGCTGCAGTGACATGTTAGGAGAAGTGATGCAAGCAGAAATGTTGCAGCTACATATTCAACCAACGACATCTTTATGCATCCTAATGAGACATTAAGTCAAAAACACAAAAGTTTTACAAAGTAGCACCAAACTTGGCTGTGATGTCATCGAGCACTTAAATTATTTACCTCCCCCCGAAGAAGTTTTCAGCTCTGTCCATTTGATGTTTGTTTGTTTGTTTGTTTATAAGCGAGATTAAACAAAAACAACAACACGGATTTCCATGAAACTTGGTGGAAGGATGCATTATGGGTCAGGGACGAATGCATCGCATTTGGAAAACAGGCTCATTGGTTTAATTTTAATCACACTGTCGTCGTATACAGTATCTATCGGTGCTGATGTAAGACGGCGTCACAAATGTGTCAAGATGAAACAGACAGGAGCGGCAAGTATGTGTTTACTTCTGCCATCACTGTGTACGTGAAACACAAAAGACATTTCGAGCACATACCAAACAATCTTCAAGCCATAGGTACGGTGACTTAATGTCTGTCGGCATACTTGTAACCATGGCATCGCTTCAAAGAGTCAAACGTTCCAAACAGGAGGCCGACAACATGCAGAAGAAACTAAATCCAGCGTCGTGCCGCGCACACCACCGAGATCCGCTCTTAAGTAGCTAACTCTCCAGTGCGAAGCCCCGGAAGCTCTGCACTTTGTGCCTTTAATTATCCCTGAGGTGCAAAGCGCCGAAGCCAGCACTCGGTGCAGGTGTCGGAACATAAGCAGAGAGACAAGGAATGCTTGCTCTCGAACATGTCGAATGAAAGAGAAAGGCCAGAGTATTCATTCCCACATCCATGACTGCAGCAACTGTCCCTGTCGCCCAGCAGCGGAGCTGTTAATCTCCTGACAGGTGTCCATGTTAGCTGAGGAATCTATCAAGGCTCCGGATTGACTTTCTTAACACAGGCTTGTAATTCTGCACATGGAGACACAGTGGAGGGGAATCTGATGCTGCATTCCAGGCGGCCGGCGTCTCCCGCCCTCCACGTGGTAATAAAAGCACAAACTCAAATTATCATTGTTAGCTTTACATCAATTTAAGAAAATATTCAGCGCTGAGCAGGTTAATGGTCTGTGTCTGGTGCTGCCTTCACGTGTTCCCTCTTATCCACTTACTTCTTAGCCCGAAAGTGGTAAAGTCAACACACCCCGGGGCGAGGACACACAGCGGACCCACACTTAAACTTTAAACATACCTGCCGTCGTTCCCAGACTGAGTCGAAGTTTATCTTTTTAATTTAAATGAAATAATATCGTAAAATCGTCAAAGCATTTTGTAAATGACCCGAAATCCTCTCTCAAAGCCATCGCAGACTGATATTGACTGATAACCCCTTTCTTTTACCCAGAGGCCTCTCTCTCACAAAGAAGGCCCCTTCCTCTTACAGCGGCCCAACGAGAGAGGCCCCATTTCACTAATATTATGTTTTCATTAATGAGAAGGGGCTCGAACGGTCCCGTGTTTGTTTGTGTTTGGGCCAGCCCCACTGCCCCTGCTTTTCAAGAAATTAAGGAGTAAGGGGAGGAGCGCCACCGAGGTCAGATGTCGCCTAAGTTCTCTGCAAACAATTCAGACGAGAGGAAAAGAGAAAAATAGAAAGAAAGACCGATACGTTGTTTAACTTGTCTGAGTCCGGAGATGTAAAAACAGTGAGTACCATGAGAAAGATTTAGATGATAAAGGAGGGACTGAAAAATATTGGGTGTCCTCAGGAAACCTCTTCTATACATAACAGCGTTACACAACCACAGAAGGCCAGACCTGCTTCATCTCACAGAGGAGTTTACTTTGGGGGAGACAAGGTAACGGACTCCACGATGGATTGGTTGGACTTATACGGTAGATCTTTTCATATTACCCTGACCGACACGAGAGCCAAGCTGAAAACATAAGAATGCTTAAAATGTTCAAGACCTGCAATGTTCAACTCACCTTTTCTCTTCTCCCTCTGATGGGTTAGAGTCCTGCTCCTTGGGCATGTGTTCCATTCACCTTAATTCCATCCAGCAGCCAATTATGAGAGACTGAGGCAAGCCCCACCCTCGGATGCACGCTTGTCATTCGCCGGTTGGGAGGGGTCAGTCAGCGAAACATGACAGGGTCCCGTCCCTGGGGGCTTGGGAGGGAGGACGGGGGGTCTCCAGAAGGAGCCGACCCCCTTTGAGGCTGGTGTTTTGTGGCTCGGTGTGAATCTGCAAGATACGTCAGATGCTGGAGGTTCTGATGGGGCAGAGCGGCGGGCCCTGGGGCCGGGGGGGCTGGAGGTGGATGTCGGTCTCAGGGATACGGAGGGTGGAGCGGGATCCAGTCTGGAGGAGAACAAAGAGGCAGATCAGTGTCTGTGCAGCGGAGATAATGAACCGGTGGAGCAGAGATTTAATTTCATGTACAATAAGCTATGGCCAAAGTGATGGATTCTATGAGAGGGTCAGCCAAGGCTTTATACCAATAGACTGCGAATAAAGATGGACGACATGACAGTGACGTGACGCCACAGCACCTCGATCAGCGCCTGGTCGCTCGCTGTAGGACGGGACTTTCAAACACAGACCTTAACTCCGTGCATCCATCTCCACCAGCTCCGAAATTATGGCATTTTCCAAAGATTTCAGCGTTTGTGTCTAGCTCGGAGAAAGTGGAGACGTGTTGTTCTTCTTTAAATACAGTCTGTGCTTTATGCTACACTCAGTCCCTGCCAGTAACCCATCTGAATAACCTGATCCTTTGGAATCGACTTGTAACTTTGAATTTGAGACCTAAACCCAACGTGAAACCCAGTTGCTTTATAATCAGCCTTTGCAACTTACAACACATGCATAGATACAGACGGCACCGTAAGAGAGAAAGCGAGACATTTTGAAACACAGTCCATAGCAAAACCACGAAACTCAACCCAAGCCCAAAATTCCCCTCAACAAGACGTCCCGAATCCCCGAAGCATCAGGTTTTTGTGCCAGAGATCATTCAATTAGTCTTAAATAAGGTGTTCCACCGGAATATCTTTCCATGCAAGTGACCAAATGAGCCCTTCGATAAACGTTGACCACATGTTGTGTCTATGCCGCGTCATGCTGTCAACTCCTCTGAATCTCCCATGCGAGCGAGTCTCACATTCCACCTAACATTACGTGACCCTCAGTCATGTGAAATGTAGGCTTTTCCTCATGCAGCTGGCGGCAACGGGATTCTTACAAGTCACACACCAAGTTAAGACGGGACGCGGGGGCCTAGAGGTCAAATGGGAATCTCTCCGGCCCTCAACTGTGGCTGCTACAACTGGATCGTTCCTGGAAAACTGCTTACTGGATGTCAGCTCATGCACAGGGTTAAGTAGCTTTAGGATGAGCAGCTGACTCTACGTGAAGGAGGAAGTGTGCTAGTGTGTATGTGTGGAAGTGCTCAGGAGGTCTTGATCCATTAGCCCCTGCCTCCCTCCTCTGTTGTCCAAAGGAGGCTTTATTCTTTCCTCCACTAATCCCTGGTTCAATGACTTTCTAATCCGGAACAGTGGGATACAGGGCACAACAATAGCCTTAGACGTGACTGATATTATTATTGCTATTGCTCCTAATAGAGCAATTATAAGCAATATTCAAAACAGCCTTCCTCTGCAGGCAAAAGGAATATTTAAACACCTCCATGCATGGTCATTCCCAATCCCAAACACTGAAGGCATCTCAGAAAACAACAATGATTGTGTATTTTCAAGTATTTATAGGAAAACAAATCACACGAGGTGGCAAAGCTACCAGTTACATTTCACCTCCGCTAAAGAGGTTGTGTTTTATTCTGCGTTAGTTTGTTAGTTTGCAGGATTAAGCAAAAAAACGACTGGATGTATTATCCAGAAACTTGCTGGAAGGATGTGGTGTGGAAGCATTGAATGTTCCGGTGAATTAAGCACTTTTAAATTACTGCTGACGCCAATTTTCTCTATTTTGATCAGCCAATTGCATCTGAAACATTAACACAGAGGGTGAGTGCGAGCTTATTCCCATTTATTTGTTTCTAATGAAAAGAAGCTTAATTAAAACCCATACAACACATCAAACACTATTCTTCAAGTATGCCCTTAAGCACATTCACACACACACACACACAC